TTTATTTCTCAATATAAGAAATTAATAAATCATTCATCCATTGATTTACAATTCTATTTCACAGCCAATTTCTTATAATATTCATGACAGAAATGCTGTTTCAACTCCTGTTGTAGCTACAAGTAATATCAATGCCAGTTCTAGCAATCTAAAAACAACATGATATATAGTATCATTCATACTTTGGATCATTTTCTCAACGAAGCTTCCTATATCTTGTAATGAAGAGAACTATCATCAGATTACATATCCAAAATATAATTATTCAACTGATTTTCAAGAATCATCTAATCAAGAAGAGTAAAATCAATTGGATAAAACTGTGTCATTCTAATCAACTTGTCTTTGTTGAATGCATAAAATTCATTATTAAAATTCAAACAAGCAATACATAAAAGCAGCTAGGTATTTACTTCAGTAAATTAATTGTTCAACTTTTGATGCTACATATCAATTACTGTGTAAAAAATTTCAACCAAAAAATGATATAAATTTATTATATCGTGAGCTCTACGATGAGGGTGGCCACGAACAACACATTTATCATTAGTATGTTGAACATTTATTTTATATTGCTAGCAAAATATAGTTATTTTACTAATGAAGTCTATCTATATCTTATTTCATTAGATGTACGCAAAAAAGAAAATTTAAAGGTTTGAAATGATTCCAATAATGCATGTCTCATCTTTTTGTTCTGAGCTTACACCATCTTCCAAACTAATTTTCATAACTTCAAATATTGTAGAGAACATTATGATTATATTAATAATTGATTCATAATGTGAACCTCATCATGTATCGCCTGTACGTATAAGGGTTATTTCTTGTTTTAAGCCTCGCCCATTTAAAAGTTATCAACTATGTAATTTATTTAATGCATTTTCTCGTTGTATATCTCGAAGCTGATCATAACGTTTGCAAGAAACACCAATAATATTCTTCATATTTGAAATTATAATAAATAACAAGACAATCCAAACATGATTTTTTTTGCAACAATTATCAATGTTAACTGAAGCTGATGTGAGAAGCAATAAATGTAATGTGTTGATTTATTTTATTCAAAAATAGAGGCTTCAAGCTCTTAAACTCCTCTCTCATATTGCTAGCACCGCCGTAATTTTGGCCCAGTGTTCTAGAATGCTCAATCCATAAGTTGAAAGGAGTAGTTCAATTACAAATTTTAAACTATTTGAAGTTGTATTTGACACGAGCAATCCTCTAAAAACGTTCTACTATCTGACCTTTCTTGTTAATTAAACATACTACAATTGTCATTTGCTCTTTAGCGGATGTGTCACGTAATTCATCGACTAAAATTGAGATGAGCTTATTACCAATCTCCTCGAATATGAACTTAGTAATTGCAATAGCGAAAGCTCTTGTGATATATTTCTGAATATCAAGCTCAATTAATTTTAAATTTTCAGGTGCATTCTTCAGCACCACAACTTATATGTTTTTATTATGTTCAATCAGAAACTGCACCAATTCAAAAAAATTATCCATATTTTTTTATTTAGAAGACTCATCATCCCTGAAAAGCTAATCCTTGTCTCATAAGAAATCGTATGCAATCAATGGAAGTATTGAGACAGGTTCGATATGCAATTGTAGCTTGAACTGATGTTTCTGGAACACAAAATTAATATGTTGAGTCTGTTTCATTAAATCTTCACATCTTAATCTAGCATTATTATGCGCACTATTATGCCTTTCTACATAAATCTCAAATTTGATTGTTTTTTATATACAAATTTAATGAACTAAGATATATAGAAACTATTCTTAATTAATGTGTATAGAATTATTTGAGTTTACTAACCTTTTGTATATAGTTATTGGTTATTGATCACTATTCTTAAGATATATGATTTTACTGATGTGTTTTGATCGTATAACACATTGCTATTTCTTTGATTATTACATACTTTTATAGTTTTTTTTTTTTTTTTTTTTGAAAAACCATGAATGTGAGGTTGAAATGATCCTCCATGTAAATATGTTCAACAAACTTTATCTCAAATGTTAGTATTAACCTCACTGATAGGAATTCTCAAGATTTTTTGCATTTAATTTCACAATTTGCTTTGGCAAATCTACCTCCACTTGAATGCATTTTTCATTTTACTCTTCAGCTTTATTGCTATTCTCATCCATAGTTAGTTAGAGTAATTGATAGTGCTTAACCAAAGCAATATATCATCTTCAATTTAACTTCACACATAAGATCAAAGATGCCACTAAAGAAAACATTTCTCTATATCTTCAAATATTTGCTCTATTTTTTTATAAATATCTAATTGCTTTGCATGTCTTCTTTTCTTTCTTCTCTATTAAATATAAGAATATTGATAAAGATTTACACATAAAAACATTTAGTCACTATATAGCTTCCCTATTCTTCAAATATAGACAAAAATTAAATGAATCATATTTCAATAAGTTCAAACTTTCATCAAACTCGATCGAGCCATAGTCAAATATATTCGATTCAAAATCAAACTATATTCAAAGACATGTTTATACCTTATTTAAATTGAGTTAAAACATCTTCTTAATTAAGACATAATCCATATATATATATATTATAGAACATAATTTTATTTTATTTTTTTCATCTGTAACCCAACACTAAATATTCTCCCCTTACAAAAAAAAAACAAACAAATAAGCTAAGCTCGGTTATAATTACCTCCACCGTGTTTTTCTGGTAGGTCATGCTCTGCAGTACTTCCTGCAGGACGATCTGCGCTAAGGTAACTTTAATGCGTTCTTCCTTTTCTTAAATCGCCCTTATTCGATTATAAGAACATAGCCAAAGGAATCAATTTCAGAGCATGCTTTCCTTGTGGCATTAATGAACTAAAGTAAGCAAAATCCACGAAGCTGCTTAATCAAAGATTAGAGAGCCTAACTCACCCATAATTTTTATGCTTAGCAATGTAGTACATAATAATTAATTAGCTTAATCATTTAATTATATTTCTTATTTTTCTGATTAATATTTAATTATCCTTCCGAGACGAAAAAGACTCAATAAATCAAGAGATTTTCGTAAAGAAAATTTTCTTTCTTTTTTTCTTCTGTAAGAGCGTCGATTGCAAATGTATATAGCACAGTTTAATCCATTTACGATTTTCTCCCATTACCTCTCTAAACCAAAGAGAAATCAAAGAAAGAAAAAAGAATTAGCTTCTCGTCCATCACCGTCTTTCGACGCCGGCGATCATACCTTCCGCCACTTGGGGCACTGCTCCGCCGGCCGCGTCCTCTGCTGGCCGGCTCTAGCCGGGCAGGCTGTCTGTACTGGCGGTACCATGCAGTTGAACTGTAAGCACAATGAAGTGATCATCGGAATCTTCGACGGCGGTCCGATCGCCATTCCCGTCAGAAAATTATGCTGCAGGTACAAAACCCTCATCTCCCCCTTCAGAATCCGATCCACAAACCCGGTCGGGACTTCGCCGATGAAGCGATTGTAATCCAAGTAGAGCCATTCCGCCGCTGATAACGCGGCAGGAATTCTCCCGCCGAGGCGATTGAAGCTGAGATCAATGTAGGGGATACGGACAGGGCCGGATAGGCGGAGGTCGCCGGAGAAGTAGTTGCGCTGGAGACGAAGAGAGGATAGGGGGAGGGCAAAAATGGAGCCGGGAATGGGGCCCGAGAAGCTGTTGGAGCTGAGGTCGAGAAAGCTGAGGCGGTGGAGGGAGGGGAGAATGCGGTCTACAGGGCCGGAGAGTTGGTTGGAGGAGAGGGAGAGGTAGCGGAGGGAGGTGGGTAGGGAAACGGGGATTTGCCCGGAGAGGCGATTGTGCTGTAGATCGAGGCGAACGAGAGGGGAGTTCAGGGCGAAGCTAGGGATAGGGCCTGATAGGCGATTGCCGGCGAGAATGAGGGTGGACAGAGAGGGGAGGCGAGGGAGGAGAGGGGGGATGGTGCCGGAGAGGAAGTTGAAGCCGAGGTCGATGACGCGGAGGTGGGCGAGTGAGGAAAGGGAAGGAGGAATGGGCCCGGACAGGAGGTTGCGTGACAGAGCAAGGAAACGGAGAGTGGAGCAGAGGGAGATAGACGTAGGGATGGGGCCGGAGACACTGCCGGGAACGAGTGAGAGCTCGGCCAGAGCAGAGAGGCGGCCGAGGGTTGGGGGCAGGTGACCGGATAGGCCAGGGGAGCCGGCGCGGGGATCCCCAAGAGCAAGGGCGACGACGCGGTCATCGCGGCAGAGTACGCCGGGAAAAGAGCAGGGATCGGCGGTGAAGTCCCAGGAGGCGAAGTAAGTAGAACCCGGGAGGTCGGAGAGAGACTTGCGGATGGATTGCAGAGCAAGGTAGTCGGTCGGTATTAGGACCGCTGCCATCGGCGCCGGAAAGAGGAGGATTGTAATGAGTAGGAGAGCAATGGCGGCTGCGGCTGCCGGAGCAACCATCTCCGGTTTAGCTAGGGTTTAGCTAGGGGTTTTAGTCGTCTCGCCTTTCTGCGTGAAAGAACGTGAGGGGCTTTAAAGGTAGAGGGAAGAGGAGGGTAGAAAGAGAAGTGGGAGAGGGAGAGATAGAGAGAGAGTGGTGTCTTGAGAGAGAAGCCTGGGCCCTTAGGGCATCTCCAACCGACCTCCAAACGCTTGAATGGAGCTCCCGGCCAACTCCAGCCGAACTGCAAAATTTCCGCTATATGGCTGCGGGTGAACAGTGGGACGCCAATATTGGCGTTGCACTGTTCATCTCCGCCATTTTTACCGCTCTACCAAACTTGTCGCGGGAAAAAAAGAGGCGACGGTTAACTGCAAAAGGGTGAAAAACGCGTTCCATTGGAGATGAAATCACGGCATTTTGTAGTTTCCGACATTTTGGAGTGAAAAATGAGATTTTCGGTTGGAGATGATCTTAGGCTTATTTATTTATGTCTTACATGTTCGGCCAGTTTTCTTGCCAGTTTTCTTCACTTTTTCTCTCTCTATCTCTTCTCTACATGGAAGCCATCTGTGATTACCGCCAAATGTTCAGGTTGGCTTGGGGAAGAAGGCGATGGCTGCGAAGTGCTCGCTATTTCTCACTTTTTTTGGTGAAATATTTTTAGACAGTTTAAGCAAATAATTTATAAATATAGGGCCTAAGACTATTTTCATTGACTATATAATATATTTACAGATGTAAAAGAAATCAAATATAAAATTATAAAAAAAAAAATTGAGCTACAACAAAATAATGTAATTGTTGGGGCTAGAATATACGCGGCAGTAGAGTTAAAATTATAGGTCTTAGCGCTGTATAAATATCAAGCACACAAACAGAGAACACAAGATTTTTTTACGTGGAAAACTTTAAAACGGGGAAAAACTGCAGGGTCACGCCCAGTAGAAATTATTGCATTGTATTTGAATATATTACAGTTGATTGAATCATCCTGAGGACGATCAGATTACAATAATCAAACGTCTACAGAACTCCAGTGTCAGTTGGTGGTATGGTAGAACTCTGGCATCAGTCGGTGGTCTAGCAGATGTCAGGGCGTCAGTTGATGGTCCGACGGAAGTCGAGGTGTCGTTTGGTGGTTCGACAGAACTCCGGTGTTAGTTGGTGGTCTTGCAGAAGTTTGGGAGTCAGTTGGTGGTCCGACGGAAGTCTGGACGTCGGTTGGTGGTACGGTAGAACTCCGACGTTAGTCGGTGGTTCGACGAAAGTCTCGGCGGTGGTCGAAGAGGAGCTGGGTGGCAAGAGTGATCTTCGATCTCTCTCTTACTTCCTTGTTCGGGGTCCCCTTCTATGAGAAGTGAAAGATCTATTTATAGATTTATGAGAGTGTCATGACAAGCAAATAAGATATATCAATGGCAAATTAGGAGTGGTTTGAAAGGACGGCCGATGTTGATTCCCTTGATTGTGAACTGTCTAATGGACATTTGAATGTCTTAGTGATATCGGAATTTAGTGATCTTGAGCTTGTTGGATTCGTCTCGTCGAGATGCTTGATTCGATTATAAGAATGTCAAGTTTGGAAACTGTTTGATAATCCAAATTATGATTTGAAGTTTTGAACCTTCCAACAGCGCTTTGCGTATTTGATTTGGACTTATTTTGGCTCAGATTGAGTCAAATTTGGTGTCATTGGGTTTGTATTTTCAAGACGTTCAATTCGACTGTAAGTCTATTGAAATCAGAGTTCGGATTGTCCCAATTTTAATTTTCAAAATTTCCAACTTGATTTTTTTCTTGAGATTCGTGCCTGATCAAAATAATTTTTTGATGATATATCAGAAATATTTAGAATTAAATTATGTGTGCAAAGAAGGAACTATTTATAAAAATTTGGACTCTCAATTTGAAAATCACCTTTTTTCACCTATTATATATACAAATCAATATTTCACTGTCATCATCTGCATGTCTTCTCTCACCACTTTTATCACAGGCTATCATCATCGCCGGCAACCATTACCCATCCTTTCCGGCCATCGCCGTAGCAGTCCACCCTTCGCTACTGGCAGATCATTACCATTTTGAATTTCCCATTACATTTATTTTATTTTAAGAAACAAAAATCTCATTCTTTCCTTCTATACTCATCCAAATAACTTCAAATATTTAATTTTCATTCATTCTACTTTGCATTTTTTTAGTTAATCAAACAATCTCTTAATGTATATTATCATGAATTCAAATAATGAATTTGCAATTTATTTTAAATGATTAGAATTTACTGAATTTAATGGAGCTACAATAACTTTCTATCCTCTCTTCTTGGGAGGAGTTGGTCAAGTTGGCTCAGTGTGGCCCACAAGGCTCTTCCTCTTACTTGACTAAGGTTTATGCTTTCAATTATAAGGCTGGAAATTGAAAAGCTCAAAGAATTACAACTTCATTAGCGTCAGTTGATATGCCACATATCTTAAGTAAGGTTTCGTTTGAGACGAACTAATATAAGAAGCAGAAAGAAAGTCGTCCCAAACAAACCTTAGGATGGATTTTTTACTACTTCTTAAAGTAATTTTTTAGCACAAAAATTAAAACTTCTATGCTAAAAAATTATTTTAAAAAGCAGTAAGAAAGCCGCCCCAAACGAAGCCAAAGTCCTTTGTTTGGCAGTTAAGAAAAATATGATGGAAGTTAAGTGGGCCTAAAGTATTTTTGTAGAAATATTTTAAGAACATTGATGTTTGTTTGGATGAAAAAAAAAAGGTTGTATAAAAAATTCTAATGTAATAGAAAGTATTCTTATTCATTTTTAAGGTAAATTAAACGCACAATTTTGAGTGAAACAGTTTTCATTTCAACGAAGCTACCTTATCACCACTCTTACCGATCACCACTTGCTCGCCCCCACCGTCCCCGCCCAACCTTCACTGCTGGTCGACCATCAATATATTGAACTTTATACTGCATTCATTTTACTTTAAGTCAATTAAAAATAATAATCTCATATATTCCTTCTATAATCATCCAAATAGCTCGAATCTATATTCTTTTTACACTGTATTCATTTTATTTTAAATTTCTTTTTTAGCAAATTGAACAACCTTTTAATGCATTACCACAATTTAAATTATAAATTTGCAATTTATTTTAGTAGCCAATTAAGATTTTCTCAAAAGTAAAAAAAAAGAGCTAAATAATGCTCAAGATAAAAATCATTTTAGTGGTGTCATCCATAGATATATATAAATTTGCCGAATTTTATAAAATTAAAAAATAATATTATATTTAAACAGAATTCAACTAATTAAATTATCATATCATAAACTTATTATTTTTTAAATAATATAATTTTTAATTTCAAATGAGCCATAAATAATAAGAAAAAAAAACCTAAACTTTCACGTGAAAAAAATTAAATTAAATGGCTAATCCAGCTTTTAATCACTCCATTAAAAGCCACCCGTGTGGCGGACTGCCACTGAAGGAGGTCGTGCAAATAAATGTTTCGTGAGGGGAATAATTGCGAATTTAATGGTTGTAGGATTAATTCGGGGCATTTGCGTCGAGATTCGGAAAGTATTTTCCGGATTCGGCTGTGATTCACAGAACTGGCTCAAACTCGCATGCTGGATGAAAGTATATTGATGTGTGTACAAATTAAAAATACGATATAATTATTATATAAATTAAATAAATATGATTTACTTACAAATTACAATATCATTCATATATTAATAATTTTTTTTAATAAAAAAGCAAAATAAATATTATAAAAATATTTAAGCAAATTAATTTTAAAAATATATTTCAACATTAAAAAGTTTTGATTAGGATTAGACTTCAATTTTTATTATCCATATTTTAGTCAATTTATGACACATTATTTTATTTAAATCATAGACATGTCATTAATGTATTTATTTAGATTTAAATTTATTTAAATCAATACATCAATGACATGTCTAGACTTAACTGTCACTTCCATGCATGTTTGTGCATTTATAATAATAAAATAATTATTTGAATTGCAAAAAAAAAAAAAAAGTAAACAAACAAAGTTGTATCACTAATGAGGTAATTAAGAAGAATTAAAATAAAATTGATAGCTAACCTAGATTTATTTTATTTGTCTATCTATATGATTATAATTTATAGAATTAAGCCCTTTTTCAATATGATTATAGTTTATAAAGTTAATTTAGCACTTGTCTTATTTGCTTTTTTAATTACAATGATTTTAAATGTTACAAAGTTTGTAGAGGTTTGATTAATTAAGCCATTAATATAATCAATTAAATTTGCATTATTAATGTATCCTCTAAATCTCATGTTGAGCTTAAAAAGCTTAAAAATAAGTTGACTAAAAGCTGTCGATCTCAGCGATAAATTAGAACAGATCAGATCAATCAGTGGCTATATCTTAGCCCATATTATATCCGAAAAATTTTAATACATATTTTATGTAATTAAAGATTTATAATGAGCATATTTTTTTTATGACAAAATTTTATTAGATCATATCATATCATTTATATATTTATCGATCTCGAGCTCCTTACTTTCTCACAATATTTATGGATTGTTTACCTTTCATATATCTCATGATAATCTCAGAAAAATCAAATTAAATTATTATTTGTTTTATCATCATATGGCACTTTTCTTAATTTATGCTATAGCATTCATAATTTTTTTAATAATTTTCTAAGATAGCTTAATATAATTCTAGATAGTAGATAAGCTAGTATTGGAAATAATATAATTTTCTTTACAAAATGAATATAAAGTTGATTTACAATAATAAAATATTTTACTTTTATTTTCTTGTAAATAATAATTACTGCTATTAATTATGATAGCAACAGGAAAAAAAGCAAAATTTGAGTTCATTTTAAGTAGCGTTTAATGGCTATAAAGTGTTCAAATGATTTACTAATCTAATAAGGTATTTTTTTTTATGTTTTTATTAAACGGATATTATTTTTTTTCAATTAAATGGATGAGAATCTAAATAAAATTATTTCTTTTATATATTTCAAAATTTTGTCATTTATTAATTATTTACGGCGGGGGTTTTTTTTGGGACATTTACGTCAATTAAGACAAATTCACACACACATCACATATATAAGACTCGATT